TTTTTTTTTACCTCCCTACACTACAATCCCATTTAATCTCATAAAATATCTTTTTAAATGGATTAAAAATATTGAATAGTTTCCTAAAACACAAACGAGTGAATACTGCATATGATGAGGGACTATTTTCAGTGCCGTATTAAAACACATTAGGTGTTTTAGCCAGTTTTTACAGATGCAGGGCAGCAGTTTTAAACGATAGAGGTCCTAAAGGAATAAGCTATATCTGGCTTTGGCTACACAGACAGTACTTGGTTAGTTTTGGTCTTATTAAATGGGATTTGTTGAAAAAATGAAAAATATAGAATATCACCAGCCTTATCCTTTAACTGAGCAGCTGGCACTGGGGAGTATCCAGAAAAAGTCCACTTTAATGCAACCGAAATATTATACAAATGTTCTGTTTTACACCAGAATCAAAAGAGAGTAAGCTCCTCGTTTAAAGAGCACATTATGGGTTTAATGGGTATAAAATGCTTTAGGTTTGAGAAGGTTATGGGTAGGTTAAGAGCCATTGTTGGGGGTCAGCAGCTGCCAATTCTGGTGAAGGAGGCAGGATTTGTAAGTAGTCCGTGAGAAAGTGCTGCCTCAAGGATAAAACTGGGGGCAAGAAGAATAACGGCAAAGCTTATTGCCCGGTTTTAGCTCGAAATTAAAAACATTTCCATATTGATGGGATTGTTTTGTAAAGCAGGCAGTGACACAGATGACACATGTTTTACTAACACGTGTAGCTACTTCTTCCTTTACTCTGCCTTATTTCAGCAGAGATGAAGAGCAAAACTCACAGAAGCAGCACAGCATCGCAAACATGAGCCAAATTCAAAGAGCAGTCACTGGTTGAAGACCTGGTGAGGGCAGGATGAAAAGAATTGACATGGAGAGAGGAAGTAAGTGGCTGAGGGAAATAGCAAAGTAAAGAGCGTCGATGGCAGAGAGAGGGGGAGCAGGGGGACGGAGAGCAACGAGGGTTGCCAAGTGAGTGGGTTTGGCAGCGCATCAGTGCACTCGAGTCCACTCTATCTGGGATGAAAGCATACTATAGCCCTGACATCTCGCAAACTCGCTGTATATGAAGCTTGTTGGCCAGGAGTTTTATTTTCCTGTATGCAGCATTGTAAAGAATATTTATAGGTCAACCATAAATGCCTACTGTTTGGGGATCTGCTTCTTATCTGTCTCATTCCGCGTCTGTCTGTGTGCCCTCCCAGCAGGCTGTCAAGTAAACTAAATTTCATTAACACAACAATGCCCAAATAAAACACAGAGCATCTACATTTTGCCAGGCCTGGTATTCCTCATAACAAACAAATTCAGATTTACAAATTTAGAGCAAAGAAACAAGGGGGGAAAAAAGTCTTTGTGGTGACCTTGAAATAAAATTAGCTGGTATAGCACTTACAGAGGGCTTAAGTTGTCACAGATATGCGCAACTTAACCAAAAAACCTCTTATAACCCAATAAAGCCATTCCGGAGACAAATCGACTCCAGGGCTTACTGTACTGTGTGTTCGTATCATTTCAGATTGTTATGGAGAATTCCAGGCCGTTTCTACAGTAAAGAGGAAAACATTGTGGAACATTGCGACTAATCCAGCATGACAGCTTGTCAGTTTCATGCTCCGAGACAGAACCCAGAAAAGCTGCAAATCATCCCTCGTTTTAACCCCCAACCTCCACCCCAACCCCTCCCTCTTTCTACCCCCCATTTTTTTTTTTTTTTGTATCTCGTTTTGTACTTGTGTTTATTTTGGAGCAGCGTCAATCCTCACAGCCCCCCTATATCACTCACAAGAGGGAATATCCTACACCGCAAAACTCCATTTTCCCCCAGACCTCTCCTATTTGCTCCCCTTCTT